ATTACAGATTGTTGTAATATAATGTTTTTTTTATAAAATCATTTAATATTACAAATATTGTAATATAATTTTTTTTTATGAAATTATTTTTTAATATTATGAATGTGATTATAATTATTTCTAATTTTTATTTTGAAATTTATATTTTCAGTTGTGATTTATTACTCAATTTATTTGTCTAAGTATTATAATTTTGTGCTTGTTACTAAGGTTATTTGAAATAATAAAGAAGCATACCTGCAGGTCCATCGACGAAGATAGTAGTAGGTTGATTTTTTTCAATATGTTCTATGACGGTATTAAATATAATTTTTTGATTTTCATTTAAGAGTTCTATATTTGATAGGTCTTCTGCAGTTACTGATATATTCAGTTCATTTAATAATAATCTTGGTAATTCGTTTAAGTTATTATCAGGTATAATAAGTGGAGGTAGGTCATATTCATTTAGGGATCTATTATGATGTTCTAAATAATGTTTTATTTGAAGAAGAACTGCATTGGTTCGGAGATAATTATTAGGTATTCCTTCTTTTGCAAAATCTTCTGTCATAGCTGCAAAGTTATTATTCCACAGAGACCGAGTATCACTTGGTTCTCCAAATAGTAATATAGTAGCAAATAATTAGCATAGTGCGGAAGGCATTTGGAATTGAGCAGCTTCTTGCATAGTTTCATGGTACATTGTTTCCATTTCTATAAGATTCCGTTTCATTGCACTTTCTTTGAATGTTAAACATAAATAATTATTAACTAATTTTAAATCAGTAAATAATGTTGCTCCTTTGACATTGTTTAGAAGTATGTGTAAGTAGTATCGTTCTCCTTCATTTGGGTTGACAGTGTATATTCTTCCAATTACTTTGCCTTGGTGGCATTTTGTCTATTTTTTAGTTGATTTGTTCCAGACATAGTATTGTGGGAATTCATGATATGAATAATTGCGAGCTTGTGGGTCAGTTTCATTCATTTTAAAATATTCTGTTAACATGTTTTTTTATTTTTTCATAATTAAGTATGATGAAATAATTCGAAGGGTGCTAATCCAAGATAGTATGATGAAATAATTTGATAACAATCCAAGATAGTAT